TTCAATATATAAGACGAAGGCTGTTCAAAAAAAATCAACTTAATCATCAAATTTATAACACTAAACCAATTTAATTTGTGGACTACGCTGATTATCACGTGACCAATTCGTTGGATATGCGTAAATGCATTTTTTGTGCGATTCTTTTATATTTGAATTTTAATGCGAAAATGGGACAAGTCACGTGATTTCCGCCTTTAGGTGTCCAGATCTATAGTAGCAAAAAAAAAAAACCAATTTGCATTTTAAATTTCATTTAGATTTCAAGATTCATTTTTAAAATGCGATTAAAAGATTATTCTTACATCAACTCAATTTAAAAGCACAGCATAATACAAATGCAAATAGTTTTTTAAATATAGAATAATTGCCTACAATTAATTCATGATCATTTCACATTTTTAATAGCTCATACAAAATGCTTGCTGTAAATTAGCAATTTTTTATTATTAAGTGATGTTACAAACACAAAGAATCATTGTTGAATTTGTTCTGTAATTAATTCATGAATAAATGAAACATCAAATTCGATTTCGATTTTTGTTATTTACGTAATTGAAGAAAACAGTATACATATTATCACTATTCCATCTTATTGCACTCAAATTAGAAATTAACGCCATTAGAAATTACGCCTCATGACCTATATTGATAATAGCTTTAAATAAAGTTTAAACAATAAAAATCGAGAAATCCTTATTTACCCGTTGTCCTTTTTTCGGCATGAGATATTTATTATTATCATCGTCTCGTGAAACGTAAATACCTTCGTCCATCATTATGTCTTCAACCCATTCCGGAAGTTCACCGCTAACACCAACAGCATAAGTACCTGGTACATAACGTGCTATAGATACGTATTAAAATTAGAATAAATCCTTAATATCAGCACATTGACATTTACTAAAAAGAAATAACAATCCTTACTAAGTTTTTTTACTTTAGAAATGAACGAATCAGCACGAGGCTTCATAAGTGCAATCATTCTGTCATTATATACACACATTAGCGATTTCATTAAATATAAGATAATGGGTGATAAATTAGCAATATATTCTTACCCGTCGTAATCGGGACTTGTACATTCCTTGACCTTATCAGATTGGCCGCGAAGCCTAAGAAAACTTTCACAATTATCGCATCCTTCTCTTTTAAACTGATCATAAGTCTAAATAAAATATATATAGTTTTAGAAAATTACTAAAGAACGAAAATAGTGATCAAAAAAGTACCTTGATCAGCGAGCAAACACGACAAGCGCGAGCTTTTTTTAAAGAGTCAGGAACGCTTGCACATTCATCAATGTTCCTCCCCATGAAAACTATTGTGAATTTTTAAAATAATAGAAAGAGGATCGTTTAGTAAAGAAAACAGAGAAACCACAATATGATGGATTATAAATTATAGACATGGTGATATCTCTGATTTATTTTTTGAATGATTATTAATAGATCACTCTTTCGTCAGAGTTTGACACTACATCATCATTGCTTCACAGAAATTAAATTGGTTTAGTGTTATAAATTTGATGATTAAGTTGATTTTTTTTGAACAGCCTTCGTCTTATATATTGAA